GTTCTAATGCAAGGAAATATTTCTAATTTCTAATAAAAGAATCACATTTGAATCAGACATGATCAATTTCTTCCACACTTTTACAAACCGTATTTAAATCATTAACATTTGTATTTTCGTGACGGCATTTTCGTCACATGGAACAGGATCAATGGATGACAAGTTTATACATTTGACTTTTGTGTTTAGACTGTATAAGGCACAGAAAGTTTTGAGAATGAATTTTTTACGCAAAAGCAGTTGAAGAATCTGTTTGTGTTTTGCAGTGTGAACAAGTTTCTAATTTACTCCTGCAGCACATTGTTGTTCTTGAAAGAGTTTTCACTGGCAGAACAATCAAAACGTCTGATTGGTTAAATAAGATGAAGAACCACAGAGCAGCTGGACTTTAAGATAAACTTAAGATTTCCCTGCTTGAGTCTAAAGCTGCAGGTTAATGAAATCTCTTAAAATCAATTTAAAGGTTCTGATTTGTTTCAGAAAGTCCTCTTTAAATTTCATCATCACCTTTTCTCTCCCTCCCTCTCTGTCACTCAGATGACCTCTTTTGGATGAACGGTACGTTTTTCTGTTTCTAAACTCGAGATCCATTTTCATCCTTGAACACGTTGTTATAAACTTGCCTGTTCCAACCTGAAATCTTACCTTCCTAACATGTCATTTACTGTTTTCGATTTCAAACACACCCGCTAGTTAATGTGATAAACTCAGTTCTTATTCATCCTCGTCTTGTCTAAAGATATAATTAACCTCCACTTTAAACCAAGGATCTAAACGTTACACCACATCATGCTAATTACTACACAAACGTTTCATGCTTCTGTTCCTCCATCCTCTGCAGGATTACTGGTTCCTGTAGTGGTGATCTCTGCGCTGGGATTTGTCCTCATCGCCTCTTTAATTTGCTGCATATTAAGACAAAAAAGGTGAGTGCAAGTTAAAGTGATTGAACAAATAATAATAATAATAATACTGTGATAATAACTACATAAGTTTTCCCTTTTCAACACTGAACATTTTAATCAACAACAAATAAATGGTTCAGATTTGGTTTATTTTAGACATTTACTGAACATATTGATGATACGGTTCATTTAATGAAGTTAAGGACAAAATGACAGCCAGGTTTCGCCATGATGGAGACCACTCAGGAGGGAGGGAGATTTGCTCGTGAGTTCAGCTCACAGGAATGAAGCGGCAAACTTAAGACCCGCGGGCGAATTCTGGCCCCAAAGTTCATATTTGACATCTAACAGACTGAGCCCCTGTCACTTCTTATTGTGTGTAAAAGACTGAGCAGTGCAGACTTCTCATGATGATTAGCTAAATTTGATGCCGAAAATAATAATAATAATTCTTTTAGTAATCTGTTATTTTAACATGGGGGAAACAATCAAAACAACGTCAAATGAAAACAATAACTCACTGATTAGCTCCCTGCCAAGAAAAATGTTGAGAATCTGACTTGAATTAATTTGCTGCAGTCTCTTATTTCAAAGTCAAATGTTTGGATTTTTTAGGACTTTTTTTAACTGTATTGTGATAAAGTGTATTAAAGAGAATTATTACATGAAAACGTTGTTGTTAAGACAAATTTAAACATATTTCTTTATTCATTAAATTATGTACTAAACTCAGCATAAAATATCAATGGAAAAATATCATTTGGATTTCTG